CGTGAATTTATTTAATTTTTATTGTTTGATAGGTACTTATAGCAAAAAAGAATTAAGTAATAATCTATGTAATACCTACGAACTGCACTACTTTACTACCCAGGTACCTATCTACTTACATACCTATACTTTTTTTTGTATTAAAAATATTTTAAGTTATAATAACACAAAAAAATGAAATTAAAACTTCGTTTACTAACAAAATTTTCAACTAAGTAGCATACGATTACATTTCTGTTAGGAATCGTATTCCAAGTTTATTTGTTGTGTGGTTATTTGTTGTACCATCTACCAGTGGCGAAGCTTCCATTAAAGCCGAAAAGCCGGGCTTGCCTTATTAAACCTGAATGAATCAATAATATCAATCAATAATATCAACTAATAAAATAACTCGTAAAATGTTTCAAGCTATTTCAAATTTCCCGCGCACTCCACTGTTCGACACATGTCGACCGATGACCTCGTATTGCCTTAGCGATACTGCTGCTGTCATAAAAAATGAGTTTTAATAGAGCTAATAGTTGTCTCCCTCGCTCGCGTGGGCTTTTTACGGGGCTTTCGAGAAGAGGATCGCTCTCTTTTTAACCTATGGCAAAATATTCTATAATGAAATATAACTACGATTGTATATATAGCAATTAGTATAGAGATTTAAAGCCAGGCTTTTGGGAATAAATTTGTTAAAAGCGGAGGCGCGCGGGCAATACGTTTGCAAGTTCATTTCACGTTTCAATGTTTATTTACTCTGTGTGCTTATCTTAAGCGATTTAATACTACGAGTTCAAAATTTATGCTTTTTTAAAGATTTTTAATGAAAATGTAGGATAATAGTGTTCCTTGTGATGAATTGAAGTGTGTTAAAGTGATAATCGGAGAGGAAATCTTTAAACTCTGTTGAGATAATACACAAGGTTAAGAGTGTATTTCAGACTTATCAATTATCGCAATTAAAAACAGTTATTGGTACAATTAAAACGTTCACCAACATTTTACGTGGACGTAATTAAATATTTCCATAAAGCGAGACGATTCCACTTATTTTATCTTATCTCTTATCCATTAGAATGTAAATAATTTGTTTTTTTTTTAATTTTGTACATAGTTTGTACTTTGTTCGTGTTTTACTTTTGTTCATGTATTGTATTGGATGTAAATATTTTTTTTTCTTTCGCTTAAGCAAACCCAAACGGCTTTCTTCAAAGCCACCGAATCTATGCAATTGCTGATATGTAATACAATCTATCTAGCAGTGGTAAGCCTTCTGTGTGCTTTGAACACGTAATTGACAGCACTGAATATGAAACTGAAGCGTGAAGCAGGGTTGCCAGATCAGATTTTCGAAAATACTGTGTTGTCCACATTAAATTACGGTGTTTGAGAGAAAAATACAGTGTTTTATGAAAAAAAAAATACAGTGTATTTTACAGTGTAATTAAATGACGTATTAAAAGGAAATAATTTTTTAATGAACCAAAATATGCATTTATTTTAAATATACTATACTCAAACTAACTAAATATCTTAGTATTTTAATACACAAAGTAGTTTAATTACTGTCACTGTCGATTGCCTCCCATTTTTTGTAAATTTCAGAGTTAAAAAATTTTAGCATCCTGTCAGTTGGCAGAAAATTTACACAGTTGCCGCCATGACGACAAATGGCCTGTTTTGCCAACATGTTGCCCTTAATTGTTTCTGTAATTAATCTATTTCTGTTCTTAGTTTTTGTGTCATTTATTTGGCTGAACACCCTTTCACACTCGGCGTTAGAATTTGGATGAGCCAAAATTTTCAGCATAAACTTGGCAACCAAACTGAACTCTTCAAACAGAAAATATTAAGCGTAATATTTTAGAACTAAATACTAAGACGATATACCGGATAATTTAAATGACACATCAATAACATTAAAACAACACAATGACATATCCAATTTCATTTACCTGAATAATACAGTCTATGGTGCGGCCGATACTGGGAATTCCCAATGGAATACCATGTACTCTTTTGTGTTGTTTGGCGGACGTATTCGTCGCATTCATAATTTACGATATTTTTCATAAGTAGCGTTCATTATAAAACGAAATTTTGTTTTTGGTTGTAAAAAAAATACGGTGTCCAGTAGACGGCGTTAAAATACGGTAGATCTACTGTAATTACAGTGTATCTGGCAACGTTGGCGTGGAGACAGATCAAGAGTGGTGTATTTTTATAAAACTGCTAAAAACAACAATCTATATTTTTATCAATTTGTATCTGGGCTTGCCCTAGCTTGGAGCTCTAGCTTCGCCACTGCTATCTACTATCTGCATTTTTCTTCCGAGCCAAGCATCGCGATTCCCGACGAATGGCCTTGCAAGTTGCATGCGATTGACTGACCATATTTTCGCACATAGGTGCGAAAATATGTTCAGTCGATCATAGTCAGAATAGGTATTTCACTTAAGTAACTTAACATTTTGCTATGTATTTTGTTACTCTTTATTAACATCCCTTAGTAACAACAGAAAGTCCGCCGTAACGTAGGAAGGGGAAAAGATGCAAAGTAATACGTACAATATCGCGCAGCGATATAGTTTTATTTAGCTTGAGAGCGAGATTTATCTAATTAATAATAATTATGTAGGCTATTAAACGTCGGCAAGCACTCAGCATCAAAGTACTGGAACTTCTGTACGTAGTACTATTATTGATTCTGTGCTACAACTAAGTTAACTACAAATACCATCTTAACTTTAACTGCCAAATAAAAAACGGCCTATATAAGTCCCACCGCATGGCAGATTTAAATCTAAATTATCATTTTTCGCCTACCTAGTAACGAAAGTGTCTTCGAAATTAGATATATTTGTCTCTAAGTTTGTTTGTTCCGTTTTTGGTGTAGCAGGGACTTCTAGCGTAGAACTACTAGTTCTATTTGAAACAGGAGTCTTCGGTGGTGTACCTTTAAGCGGCATAGTGCAATTTTTGTAAAGCAAAAGTCGGGTAAAGCTTGAACCAACTAGGCGTATGCATAAAAGAGTAGCGAGTAGGCCTAAATTCAAGCGCGGTGAAAACTTTCCGTCGACAACTTGATGAGTAAGACAGATGAATATTAAGCTGAGATGTGCGATGCAGAGTTGACAGGCCTCCGCAAGCAGTGCTCCAGCGCAAGGCGTCACTAACGTAAGCCAATGACAGCGCGGTAATTAGCAATGGAAGCGCTAACAAGTATGTTTATCTCACTCACCAGGCTCTTTCTAGTATCTCAACACCTCCACAAGATTTCTGCAGTTTCATTGGTGCCGGCGGGAATCGAACCCGAGTTGCTCGTGTACTTAAATTTACAACGAGCGCTTAGCCCCTGAGCTACCACGGCTAATGGCAACTTTAAATTGCTAAACATTTGAAAAACATATAAATTTTGTAAGCTATTCTTTACATTTAAATAATATTAAATGCCTTATCAGACCTTGAACCCAGGATGCACTACTCAGTATTAAAGAATATCTACGCTTAAGGCGTTAATTCCGTCTATGAATATTTTTGTGAAACAAATTTGAAATAAATAAACAGTGGCGGCCAAGAAAGGTTGCAACTCTCAACTGCCTTGTTTATTCCTTTAATGACCATAAAATGCGACTGAGTGAACAGTATCCACGCTGTCCGATTACTAAAGAATATAGTATATATACAACATTAATAATTTAATTGTAAGGGTAATTGGTTGAACTGTGACCAGATACTTGTTAAATCAGGCAAGTACAAGCATTTTTTATTTTTCCTCTCCGCTCTTGACGAAGATGAAACTATAAAGGTAACTTAGAAAATCCAAAAATGTTGATACGATAGTAAGTACTGTTGAAATTTATTTCGAGAAAACTTCCTGTTGTGATCATGATATTCTTTTCGAACTGAACTATTTACTTGATATAATGATTTCTTATATTTACGCGAACACTACACATTGATTAAACTACTTTTACGGATATGATCGCGTTTAATTTTAATTATTTTAATTTTTAATTCCCGACGTTTCGGGTGCTTTCCAGCACCCATGGTCACGAGGGACTGACGTCCCGATGTCATTGTTAAACCCGGAGTACCTTCGGCTTTTTTAATTAGTCTCAAAGTCTGCAGTTTGTGATCATATCCTTAACGGCCATAATCATTACATCAGATTTGATAGACCACAAATCCTCGCGAAAGAACACAGATTCCTACCCAGGATGATACGTGCGGCTATTGAAATTGTTGTGTGTGGAGTGAGGATATTAAAAAACATCCTAATTTCAATAGAGAAGGATCCACCTGCTTGGGACCCTATAATCAATAAAATTAAAACTAAACCCAAGCATACCACTGCAAGGCCTCAGGACATAATCAGTTCATTTTGCATAGATCGGACCATAAACAATAATTAAAAAAGCTGAAGGTACTCCGGGTTTAACAATGTCATCGGGACGTCAGTCACCTCAGTCCCCCGTGACCATACGTGCTGGAAAGCACCCGAAACGTCTGGAATTAAAATAATTAAAATTAAACATTTACTTGATACAAAAATATATTTAATTTGAGGAAAATTCGTGTTAAGATAAATAGAAAATAGTCTTCAACAAACAAAGTATTTAACCGCGGAATAACGTACCGTGAGTATAATGGACTTGAGTATAGAAAAAATAAGTATTTTCAATCTTACGATATAAGTAGGTAACGTACTTACTATAAAACGTTGAGCACCTACAGAACTCTTAAAACTCATAAAAATTAATTTCATTTTAAGAAATGCTTACAGTTCCTTTCTTTCTCTCTCTTCACTTAATGACAATTGAAAGAGACAGAACACAGAATTACATAATTACAAATTAATATTATAAGGCGGTTTATATTGATACAAAAATTACCTACTTAACAGTTTTTACTACACTTAAAGTAAGGCGTACAAATAAAACATTAAAAGACAATTTATTTGATTTAATTCGTAAAACAAAGATTTAAATAAAACATTCGAGCGGAAAACGTTATACGTCTGATAGCGCCGCTCGAAGCAAGTTCTCAAATTCATAAGATTTCCTTCTTTCTTCTTCAAGTTGTTTTTCTAATCCTCTCATTGTATCACTGCAATCATTGTATGACGAAATATTTTTTTCAACTGATTTTATACTCTCTTCAACTAAAGTACAATCTTTGTCTTCAAGCATAAGATACTCCATTTCATTGTTATCTAATTTCCGTCGTTTTGCGCTAATAAATAGATCTAATTCATCTTCATATTCGATAGCTTTGTGTTTCATACCGGAAACAACTTCAATCTCGTACAACCAGTTAACATTACGATATTCTTCCATTGACGCTTTATCGTATATTGCAAATCTGTTATCGAAATTGTGTAAACTATTTATTTTTTCATAAACAACTATATTCAAAAAATCGATCAAATTATACTGTTCGAAAATTTTGCTGAAATCTTCGCAAGGCATTTCCAAATTAGAAAAATCGCTCGGCAGAAGTGCTAGAACTTTACAAGCAACTTTTTCAGGGTTATCAAACCATCCAATTTGTTTACAATAGCTGCGTATTTGCTGTTGCATAGTTATGGAGTTAGACGGATGGAATTCCGACGGGGAGTTTATAAGTTTTAGGCGTTTCATAAAACTTTTAATCGCAAGCACATTTTCGGAGTGTTTTGTGCTACTTGGAATGAATTCAAACGGTTTTGGATATGGTGAATCGTGGCTTAAGTATTGATCAAACTCTAGCGGAAATGATGGGTAGTTAAATAAGTCTTCGTTTGTTATAACATCAGTTAATTTATCCACAGCTGCATTGTAACAGGTAATGAGTTTTTTTAAATCTGTACGAAGGGTTACTATTCTACTATCGGTTTCTGATTTCAGCTTATACCAAATCTCATTAGCTAAATACCTCTGACATATTGATTTTAAATAATCAATTTCAATTGGAGGGTTTTTAGGACATTTCTTAGCCAGCCATTTTAATGCACTTTTCATATTTGAATGTAAAGATTGATTCAGTTTATGTTTTTCTACTACAAATATTTTGTAACATAATATGACATTATCATTAATTAACTTTTGCAAATTCTGCTCAAGTCTTTGAATAGATATGTCTTCTAATTTTGGAATGATAAAAGCAACAGGAACGATTTGATATGGGTATTTGCATTTCATTATCTCTTCTATTGTTTCAAGTATGCTTAAATAATTTTCATCCTGGTAAAACAAAAAACCGTGTGCCCCTTCCACAGCCTCATTATAACTTAACATAGATTCTTTATCAATAAGACTAACAGATATAGCAAAATCCATTAAATGATTCCATGACTGTTTTCCGACATATATCAAACCATCCTTTTTGTCTGATTTATTTTTATCGCTAAATGTTTCCAGTAGCCAATTTTTAATATTTATCCTCTTATAAAGCCACCTCGAAGATCCGGGAGAAACCATAGCCACCTTCCAGAAAAAACATTTGTCATATGGATACTGGATTTGTTTCATCCGTTTTAAAAGTGGAGACCTAATTATTTCCATAATATTAATTGGTTCAGGTGGTGGCATATGATTTAATTCACCAGTAAATTTATATCCCCGGTGTATTGCATTCATATTCCTTAAAGCTGCAACTTCTACAACTCTCCTTAAACTATTAGCTTCTTCTACGGGCGTGTAATCCGTTAACCAAACGGGTGTATCTTCTAAAAGATTTCTTCTTTTTCTGTTCCTTAAATACTGTTTTCTCCATATGCTAAACCATTTTTTCATTAACTTTTGCGTCCAAAATAATTCTGCTTTCACTTCGGACATAGAAATTTCTTTACAAATCTCGTTCAATAATTCCTCTGTTACATCTTGAGAATATAAAACTAGTTTCTTAAGACTTTCTAATTCATCGTTTATAAAATTCTGAACTGTTTGCGTATTAATTTCTTCTATAAGATCTGTCAGTAATTCATTTGAGTCCTTTTCAACTTTCTCTTTAAACATTCTTTCATCCTCTTCAGCTTTTCTTTTTAACTCTGCTTTTCTTTCTTCTTCAAGCTTTTGCTTTCTAAGTTCTTCTCGTTTCCTTTCCTCTTCTTTTTTACGAATCTCCTCTTGTTTTTGCTTTTCTAGTTTCTTCCGTTCTTCTTCTTTTCTTTTAGCTTCCTCTAGTTGCTGTAACCTCTTAGCTTCTTCGCTTTTCTTTTCTTCTTCCATCTTTCTTTCAATTTCTTTAGCTTTTTCTTCTCTTAAAAGTTTAACTGAATTGTCTTCATCTTGAAATTCATAAACATCTTTTGATGCCTTTACTGAATTAAATATGTTATCTGCAATTGTTGATGGTTTGTTCTTACTTGGAAAGAATGAAAATACTTTTTCTGGTTGACAAGCACTCTTAAATAAAGTGCCAGGTGATACTTTAAGATCTTCATTTGCATTTTGAGCGTTTTGTGTATCAGATTTTGCAAAAATACTGCTATTGGAAATATTCGATTTCGTAAATTCTTTAAATATATTTGTAGCTTTTTGAAATACATTTTGTTGCGATATTGGCACTTGTGTAAAAAGGTTACCAGAACCAGAATTTGTAGTACGATCAGGTTGTGCAGCACTACCAAATATTTTGGAGTAATTATTAGCACCACTTAACGCTGTGTTGTGGTCTTCTGTTTTTTTGTTATCCTTTTCGTTAAAGATACTAGCTTTGTTACTTGTAAATAAATTCGTTGTTGAACCTCTACTTTTGAATATATCTCCGTTTTTATTTTCAGATGACATAAACAAGGAGTTTGTCGCAGGTTGTTTGAACAAAGAATTTTTTGCCTCTTTAACTATGGATACTGCCTCTACTGATTTTATAGACGATAAGAAGGGATTATGTTCATGGCTCTTCTTCACCAAACTATTGTCTGTAGTGTCCTGCTGAGGTTTAGAAAATCTAAAAATATTTTTGGTTTCATTAACTGGTGAAGTTTTTATTATTTCAGACGGCGCCACTGGAATTGCAGGTTGAAATAAAAATGACTTATTTTCAATTTCACCACTACTAGGTGTCACTATACTTCTACTAAGGCTTTTGGGTACGAATTCAGAAAATACATTTTTCTTAACATCTTTCACATTACTTATATTCTCGGCAAATCTGCCACCACTACTTAATCTTTGAATTTCTGTTTTCAATGCTTCTATATCTTTATTGCTATCATTTTTAGTGTTATATCCAAGATCTTCTGCTATCAACGCAGTTTCTTTTAACTTGCCATCTTTATTAAAACTAGAATATAGCATATGACCACTATAATCATGCTTTGGAATTGGACCTCCTGCGATGACTTCACCAACTGTTGTTTGCCTTTTAGATTCTATAAGATTGATAGCCCGAGCCAATGGATATGGATCACTGTCTTCTATAAATTGATTTCTATCTAGTATTACTGATAATTCAGAATCTGTCTTTGCAAATCGTAAGCCGTAATGATTTATAAAAGATTTCATACGCTCAGTAGATTCAAAAGCGAGTGCATTAATCATATCTTGTGCTGGAAATTTCGACCCACCTCTAGGTGCATACGCTTTAACAAATCTTGCTAATGCTCGAGCCCTAACATCATTAAAATACCTCAAAAGTATACATGCTTGAAGATAAGTTGCCTTTTCTTGAACTAGGCGAAAAAATCTTACGTAGTTGTTGTTATCCAATGCAGTAAACACTTTTATAGCAAACATTATCGATTCCGATTTCTGAATATCTTGAGGCAGTTGTTTGATCTGAAATGAAAACTTGCCTTAGTAAAAAACTTACATAAACTATTTGTACAAAGGATATATCAAATTGACTGCCTCGTTGGTCTAGTGGTTGTAGTAGTACGACTGCTGATCATGTGGTCCTGGGTTCGAACCCGGGTCGGGCCAAAAAACTAATTATTCCGTTTTTCTGTCAAGAAATTCTCAGTAGTTGCCCCGGAGTCAGGAAGTTGGCGGTGTCTCAACCCCGTGCCTTAGAAAGCACGTAAAGCCGTTGGTCCTGCGCCTGATCTCTCTCCGGTCGTGTCGGTTTACCGTCCTCTCTGACTATGAGAGTGAGGGAATAGAGAGTGCACCTGTGCTTGCGCATACACTTGGGCACTATAATCCTGTCCTGCGCCGATGGCTAGCCTCGCGGTGAGGCAGGCCGCCGTGGCCGAAATTCGGTCTGGAGGACATTATTATATCAAATTCATGCAATAATCACTTATACTTTACACGTGTTTATTTTCTAAAAATTAACTATTCCGAGCGCACAACGCCGGTGCTAGTATTAAAGGCACAGTTGTGTGCCTCTAACACTAGCACCAATAGTGCCGATGCTACTATTAGAGGCATTTTATGTGTTAGAGGATTTTTACACTTGGGCGTTAAAATTTTATAAATATAATATTGATACAGTAATATACTTCATGATATTTTACGACTACCGTTTAATTTTGAAAATAAATCAATCTGTACAAATACTACTACATCGTGGTAATCTTTTACTAGTTATTGATGAACTACTGACCTCCCACCAAAAATTCGCATCTCCTAAATTGAGCAAAGCGATATATCCTCTGAACTCTGCTTCGTTTGGTTTCAACGCCGGTTCTACATCAGCATACATATGCTTAAGAGTTTGAAGACACTTAGTAAGATTGTCGGTGTTGAGTTTCTGATCAAACTGAGTATGTTCCAAGTCAGCGAGGCGGGCTGCACAGTGAGCGTGGAAACGTGCACATGTTTCTACCAGCCAAATTGAATCTAAATGAGACAAAACAAATAAAGAAAAAAATATACTATTAAAATGTATTCCTATTTTTTAAAACACAAGATTTACTTTTTAAATAATTCAAACGAAAAATAAATATTGTGTCTTGGTAAGTGACAATAAAATATTGACAGTAAACTTATTATACCTGCACAGCACAAAGCTTGTTGTGTTATATCTTTGCGAATACTACGAAATCGGTCCCACATGAAATGAAACCAATCCGCCAGTGATACCTGTACAAATAAAATAATTTATTTTAGAAATATTTTTACGTTATTTTTGCAATATGAAAGAATTGATATTCAATCAATTGCTAAGTTTGAACCAGTTTAAATTAATAATTAAGCACAATTTTTAAAGAAGTGAAAGTAAATCCATCAATGGTAATATTGATGAATTTACTTTTCTTGTTCAAATTGTAATATTTTGTGTAGTCATTTAAGGACATTCAATTTTCTGCATTCACAATGTTTTTATCTCATTTATTTATTCATTTATTACAGCACATGAAAGTTTACTGCTAAACATAAGGTCTTCGCCACATATTGTTTTATAAGGAAGATTTGTCTAGATTTGTCATACATACACTGCACTTTTTTAATATTACTTCATTCTGAACAGACAAATAATAGTGGTATATTTGAGTAATATATTTTAGTTATTCATTGGATGTAATTAAAACTTCGAAGTAATGAATAATAGAATAATATTACTGACAAAAGATATTTTAATATCGAAAATAATAGGAAATTGTATATCTGTTAAAACGTTAAATAATTTAAAATTTATATTACCTGACGAGAAGTATCAGCAATTTCATTAAGCAGGTAAGCGCAAGTCCTCATAAGTACATGAGCTGGTCGCAGTTCATAACACATGGGCATCTCCTGGTCTGCTGAGCTACGACTATACTGCTTAACGGCGCGCCACGGCTCCATTAGACCATCTGAATCCGGCACTGTCTCCAATGTCATTACCTGCCGAGTAACAGTAATAATCAAAATACTCAAAATCAATAGATTTATTTTACATTATATGTTACCTGTCGAATTGAATTTTAAATATAAAGAAAAAGTTTGCTTCAAACAATTTAAAAAAAAGCTTGAAATTAGTGCTAAGGCAGTGTACAGAAGAAATAAAGGTCCAACCTAAGGAGGTATTTACTAGGGATGGGCCGAATATTCATTTTATATTCGGTATTCGGCATATTCGGCAGCTTTACCGAATATTCGTATTCGGCCCATCCCTAGTAAATACTTCCTTAGGTTGGACCTTTATTTCTTCTGTACTGTACTGTATTCTGAGTATGGTGGTACTCAAAGTGTCCATTGTATTTAAATGTACGAATTGAGTAATGCCATGTCTTTCATAATTTTACTGTTGCAAGTATATTTTGTTTATGGGTTAAATCTACTTGTATAACATAATGTTTTAGAGGCACTTAGATTTATTTCCAATAATAGCAAATAGAAAGCTTGATATATTTTTTTGTAATAAAACAAATAAATATTGCATTACATTATACAAATTACATTTCAATTTATCAGTCCACATGGTATTATATCTCCTGCCACTCATTTTTATCATATAATTATCCATCTTCATTAAGAATAACACTAGGAATTACTTTTTTTTCTCACAAAAATGGTCAAAACGTAAGCATGTACCGATAATTTGCTCAGTATTAAATAATGCAATAACATGTCGGGTGGGGCGGGGGAGCGAGAGGCAGGGTCCGGCGCTAATCCCGCGCACTTTACGGTAACAAGTTTTGACATAAATTGGTTATGTACCAAGTTGATTCTGCCGAATAAAGTTCGGCCGAATATTCGGTTCGGCAAAAGTTTTACCGAACATTCGACCGAATATTCGTATTCGGTGAAATCCATATTCGGCCTATCTCTAGTGTATACTGTGAAGTGGTGGTCTAAGAATATCAACTACGCCATATCATCCCATGGGTGTTGTTTCTGTTTCTGAGGGGGAGGCCTACGAGGGGAAATCCAAAAATAATGATAATGAAAATAAAACACGGTAATTAAAGTTAAAATAATAATTTATTTTTCTACATAGTCTCCTAACAAATCAATACATTTAGTCCATCTTTTTCTAAATCCAGGATTCCCTTTGAAAAAAATTCTTTGTCTTGACCCTCCGAAAAGGCTTCAACAGCGGCCATTACTTCGCTATCGTCTTCGAATTTCTTGCCTCGGAGGCGTTCCTTGAGCCTAGGAAAGAGGTAGAAGTCACTAGAAGCTAGATCTGGCGAATAGTGTGGGTGTTCAAGCAGTTCGAATCCCGTTTCTTGAATGGCAGCCATCGAAACTGCGGCTTTGTGAGCCGGTGCATTGTCTTGGTGAAACAGCACTCCAGCTCGCAGTTTGCCGCGTCTTTTTTCCTTAATGGCCTCCCATAATCTTCTTATTTGGTCTGCGTAGTAAGCACAAAACGGAACAAAAAATTTTCTTGATCTGCTTGGAACTTTTCGAGATTGACCCTCGAAATGTCAACTCGATTTTTCTTTTGCTCGTCGGTTAACATTCTGGGTACCCAATGCGCAGAGACGTTTTTCATATGCAACTCGTTCGCAAGGATTCTTTGAACGCTGCCATATGAGATCCCTGTGACCTCAGCCACATGACTGATGGTCACTCTTCGATCTGCAAACACAATATCTTCGACTTTTTTCACGTTGTCTTCAGTGAGGGACGTGGATGGGCGTCCTTCGCGATGTTCATCTTCAGTGGATGTTCTGCCCAGTTTAAACTCCTTGGCCCAGCGTGCAACTGTAGAATATGAAGAAGCAGAGTCCCCCGATGTTTCCACTAAGTCACTGTGTATGTCTTTTGAAGACATTTTTTTTAAATTGAGGTACTTGATGACAGCTCTAATTTCGTTTTTCTCCATGTTGATGTTATCTCTTTGACAGTTCGTATTCAAATGAATGTATCTCCAGGAAATTGTGATCTATCTATATGATTTTTTTAGGCTGACGTAGTGAGTATATAAGCAAGCAAAAAAATTTTTTTTTGATTTTTATTCGGACCTGAAATAACCGATTATCATTACTTTTGGATCACCCCTCGTATGTTCAGCAATGGACTTTAATAGGATGTAATGGTAACAATAAGAAGATATTTATGTCGAAATAACTTTAGTCCTTTTAGTTATTTGAAATCGGCTTTTATTGTTTATTAATAGTTTAGTTTTGACCCTTTTGAGTGCACTATGGAATATCACAAGCTCAAGGTAACAACTAGAAGGTCTACCAAATAGTTACATACATATACTCTCCAAATTTATGAGACCACTCATGAAAAATAACCTATTAAATAAAAAATAATCTTCAAAATTGGTTCAAGTAGTGAAGCCATTGTGTTACATACGTATTATAATAAAATGATCCAAACATTTTATTGAACTTGTGCAGTAATTCATTTTTTCATTTGTTTATTATAAATACTCATTCAAAATATTTATAATAAATAAATGAACATATACATAGTAAATATATAATATTAGCTTATTAACTTTAATCAATATAAATTATTAAGATTTTATTTTAAATCGGTTATTCTATAGAGGTGTGAGACAGGGTGACGATATATCCCCGAAACTATGCCAGTAGTTGTTGTGAGCAATACGCTCAAAGCTGTATGTTTGCCCGGAACAAATAGTCCAACTTAGACCGAGAGTTTAATTGACAGATTCAACTCGGCTGGACAGCGTCCAGATTACAACACATCTTCTCATTAGGTACCTCAAAACAAGATCGTACAACCAATGCATGTTGCCAATGATGACTTATGGGTCTGAGACGTGGGCTCAAGGAAGCTCAAGGTGGCTCCGCGAGCTATGGAGATGCTCGGCTATGGGCTATGCTCGGGGTTTCTCTGGGTGATAACCTTAGAAATGAGGAAACTCGCAGTAGAACAAAACCGACATAGCCCAACGGATTAGTAAGCTAAAGTGGCAATGGGCCGGCCATATAGCTCGAAGAACCGAAAACCGATGGGGAAAAAGTTTCTTGAGTGGCAGCCTTAGGGCACCCTCCACTAGATGAAGTGACGACCTGGTAAAACATGCAGGAAGTCAATGGATGCAGGTGGCTCAGGACCGTGCTTTAAAGTATTACTTGTGGGAGGCTTATGTTCAGCAGTGGTCTTGTTAAGGGCTGTAATGATGATGACAAGTTTTCCATAATTTACCTGATGTTCAGCCTGACGATGCAATAATTCTTTTTCAGGACACATGTCTGGGCAAGTACCTATAGTTGCTCCGCCCTCCTTAACCCTAGATCCTGCACCACCCCACGCACGTAAAATTCTGAAAAAAAGCAAAACGAAATTCATTTTATAACATGACACAAACCAAATAACCGAGTAATTGAATTTCACAATTTTGATATTTTTTGACCCATGGTAGCTCAGATGATTAGCACTCACTGTAAATTTCACAGTATGTAAGCAACCCGTGTTCGATGCCCGCCGGCACCAATGAAATTGTTAATTGCAGTTCTAAGTGCTGATTTACTACATGCTCGACAGTGAAGGAAAACATCTTGGGGGAAACCTACATGTCTGAGAAATAAGAAAAAATACTTCGAAGACATGTGAAGTTTGCCAACACGCATTGAGGTAGCGCGGCGGACATTTCCTTGCCCTAAAACCCTCGCAGAAATGAGAGGCCTGTGCCCAGCAGTGAGATGTATATAGATTCGTTCGTCGTAACTAATTTTGATATATAATATGGATGACGGATACTCAAAAACTTAGCATCTCCAAGTCAACCGGAAAAAGAAGATCACTTCATCTAGCAGTATGGTCAGTAAGGAATGTTGGCTACAGCTATGGTCAATAAGTATGCAATGAACATAAATCAGAGAATGTATTGTAAGGCCAAAGAGATATAAAAATGTTAGCATGCTGATTTTTATTGGTTTATATCTGCAAGCAACAATATCTATCCTGTGTACAGTAGGTGATAAGAATATATATTACTTTCACCCACTTTATACTATAATATAGGACTAGTATATATAGGATAGATAATTTTTCTGCATAGGAGTTCACCATTTGGTACTTTCCAGTTTCTTGCCTATTTCTACTGCCAAGCAATATATTTAGCCTAAATGATGAAAGACCCAGTATATTACTGACCATAGAATACTACACTCAGCGTCACAAAAATCGCACCTCTCTGAGTTTGCGCGAAAAATGGCTGTAGTGGCTAGAAACGAATTATATTTATATAAATATTGGTATGTTTGCACTATTGCAGTCGGGGATGCGGCAGTGTGACGTTGCTCGACAGTTGAACTTGTCCTGTTTTTCAGTTCGACTGGTGTTCCAACATTTTCAGCAGACTGGTGGTTATGTTAGAAAACCGGGATCTGGAAGAAAACGGTGCACATCAGAAAGAGATGACCGTTTCATCGTTACGACATCTTTACGAAACCATTTTACAAATGCTGTTGAGTTGCAACAACAGCTTCGATCAACTCGGAGAACATCTGTGAATGTTTCTACGATAAGAAAAAGGTTACACGAAAAGAGTTTAACAGCCCATAGACCTGCTAAAGGTCCAAAACTTACTGCACTGCATCGCAGAGATCGCCTAGAGTTTGCTCGCAATCATTGCGAGTGGACTCTAGAACAGTGGCGGACCGTACTCTTCTCTGATGAGACGAGGGTCTGTCTCTTCTGCAATGACAGACGTAGAAGGGTATACAGAAGACAGGGGGAGAGATTCACACAACCCTGCTTCGAAGAATCCGTCGAAAACGGGGGTGGCTCGTGTATGTTTTGGGGCAGCATTTCCGTCGACGGGACGACGGAACTTGTGTGCGTTTCCCGGACTCGGGGTGGCCGTGGGCAAGGGTCATTAAATGCTGATCGGTACATTACTGAAATCCTGGAGGAACATGTGGTCCCGTATGCTGGTTATGTCGGTGATGGATTCATGTTAATGCATGTTAATGCTCATTGCCACACCGCGGCTATTGTACGGGATTATTTACAGGAGGTCAATATCCCTGTTATGCATTGGCCAGCACGAAGTCCAGACCTTAACCCAATAGAACATCTCTGGGATGACCTAAAACGGCGCGTGCGAACTCGAGATCCAACTCCAACCACTCTTCAAGAGCTCCAAGATGCGGTACTTGAAGAGTGGGAACAAATTCCCCAAGAGGCTGTTGCGACCCTTGTAAGGTCCATGAAAGATCGCATGGAAGCCGTTATCAAGGCAAGGGGGGTAACACTAGGTTTTAAGAACTTTTTTTGTATTTATTAAGTTTTTTTTTAAATTATTAATTTGCAAATTTGTACATACCCTGTCTTTTTCTTTAATTTCTCTTTCGTCTCGTTATAAAAGTAAAATTCAATTAAAATTCCTGAAAGCTAATGAAATTACCTTTCGAATGATACCCTCAAACCACAACATTGCCATTGGCCTGTTGTGTTAAAATAGTATTTAAATTAATTTTTTCGGATGTGCGATTTTTTTGACGCCGAGTGTATAATACACAATAGAATGGCTGTCAACGTTATTTTATACGACGATAGGCGTCCTCGGGAGCACATATACAAGCAATAACGTCGTATTATCACTACTACAAACCCGATTCACTGTTTTGACAAACAGATTTTACTACATATTTATTTGTAAATAGCGTGCAATTTGGCATTTTCTAAATAATTTGCATGGGAAATTTGGAAACAATTATAATGTTAAAACACATCTCGTGTTAACGTTTATATGTGTGAATTGACGTGTTAGTGACATTTTAGTGGCTACACGGGCTCCGCCTACTCCCTCGTTCTGTTATGTATGTATTATAATATTCTATGGTTTTACACAATGTCTAACATATGCACCAACAATTCTATAAATAACGACAAAGGTTTTTAAACCTGTCTCTGGCATCTAATGTCCGCCATTGCTCGTCTGGAGTCAAAGATATCCGGGAGCGAAGTTGGTGCAGTTCAGCAGCTGCTTCTGACGTACTTAGACTGGTTGTTGACATAGTGACTAGTGCTGGAGGTTCAGCAGGTAAAGGCTGACTTCTGAAAAAATTAGAAGTTGCAAAAATTAATGGTCCAGTGAAGACAAATAATATAAATAGTCAGTATTTAACTAGAAATCATTTATTAGTCTATGGTTATAAATTCATTAAAAATTAAACCACTTAGGTACTATAGGATAGAAAAGGTTCTTTTCTGCCTGGTGCAATGCATAATTTCATGGATAAGTGGTGGTGGTATTATTACAGGCTGTAAAGAGTTATCATCTCAGACTTCAGGATTGGCTTTGCATTCAGGTGTCTATGGGCAGCGCTAGCCACTTACAACTGACTTAGCTTGTTAGTCATTCTCATATTAAAATTTTAGACACAAATTGGTACCTAAGTATTTCTGTTATGAAGTACCTATAATCTCAAGATATGTCCTGAAAAAATTACTGCTCATATAAAATATTTAGTCTTATATAATTAAATTAGGAGATTGAACAAGATATAGAACTTAAAAAATTTGATTTACTTACACAGTCTGTTTTGCTCTAGTAGTCTGGGCTAAACTCTTTCTTAATGGTGATAATTTTGTTGATCGTGCTGCAACTTTGGGCCTTACTACAACAGGGTCTATATCCATTGCTAGAAATTTAAATACTATCATTAATTTGATTAACTAGAATATAAAAATGAAATCTGTTTGTTTTTATATATGGGAACATGAAATTTAAAAAACATACAAGAAATAGATAAATCATAATACACCTTTTACTTATATTTACATAGTTTAGTAATAATGTAATAATATTAGTATATAAATATTACTATGACTTTGCTGTTTTGTGCGTGCATTTGAATCAGAAGAATCATCTGGGGGCATGTCAATTTATAAATTGTCGTCATCTGGGAATTTATAAATTGACTTGGCCATCGCATGAAAACACAATATATCTCACAATTAATACATATGATATTAAATTAGATTGTCTGGTGCCAAGTTAATCTATATATTTAACCATAATAGATTTTTAATATTGATATGGTTACTCTAAGATGTCAGATTAGCTAATTACGTAATAAATTAAAATAGAAAGACCCTAAAGTAGGGACTAAATATATTAACCGATTTGAGATTATATGGATCTCACAACTTTTTAAGGTAGTAGAACTGGGTTGCGAGACTTGTTTTTTTTTTACAAGTTACGAGTATGTTTTTGATGGCATGAATTTTTCGGATGGGATCTGTTGTAGCACAGAATCTGTATATGTCAGACTTATGAATGACTGATTTTGAAAAACGAATAACGAAGTAAGAAAAGATTGTACTGTGTCCAGAATGCACTGAGGCTAAAAATTACAAACATTCCACCTACTATTTTGGCATGTGCAGAGCTGCACAATAATTCAAATTCAAAGGTAAGGTGAAGTTTATGAGGAGAATATTTGTTCAGCTACTAAAGAAGATGAAATTTATGATAAAACCCATCTTTGAAGTTAACCACAATTCTATTGTTAGAACATCATTATACAGTATATTTTTTCTAGTTAAAAAATAAAAAATGCAGTTGGCAACCCGCTTGCCTAGCATGGCAACTATTGCAAATATTCCCCTTAATAAGGCAATCTATAGGAGAGGTGAATTCAGCAGGGGCCTTTAATAGGCTGTAATGGTAATGGTATTAAAATGTAACCTTTTTGCCGAGATATCCTATATGTTGGAGCTCCTCTCATAGCAGAAAGTTCTTCTTCAACATCAGAGTCAGGCACCCAATCTGGATCATCATCTTTCTTACTTTTTCGCCTTCTGCGTAAAAATATTAAACAAATTATTTTTTGGAATAATAACATGGAACACTTTTTTATTTGTTATTTTGACAATGTCAATAGGCCAGACAAACCATTTGAAGAACTAACTCATGATATAGACAGATTCTTGTGTTAAAACCATGTATTGACAAGCAGTTTAGGGCTGTGTAAAACCTTTGTTTGTCACCTCTGAGAAATTTAACTTACTATCAAGTGCGCTGTGTGCTCGATTGTCACCCTTATTCTATTAAAAGGTTCATTACAAAAAACTAGCCATACTACTCTGGTATCATACAGTTTATAATGGGATATTCTTTTTATCTACCCTAAGAAATCCAACCTAGAGTGGATACTCGGAATTGCGTGTTTATTTATCCATTCATATATTATTTTTCTCCCGATTTTCCCCTTTGGCTGTGTACAGTTCTTTATAAAACATTATAGAAACTGGCCCAAGATTACTTAGTAGACATTAGTATCTTCTACTTTTCGTATATATATCTTTTACTTCTTGTTTAAAGGTCAAAACATAAATACTTTTAATGGTTTAATTATGTTCAGTGCAGGAAATAGAATAAATGGGGTCCTACACTCTATTGTGAAGAGTCAAAATGTGTCGAAAAAGGCATGTATGGCAATTCACAATGCTGTGTAGGTCCCTACTTGTATGGTAGTGAAAGTTGGGTGTGGCAGAAGAAGCACGAGAGTAGAATGAACGCAGTAGAAATGCAGTCGTTGGAGTATGTTAGGGCTGAATCTGAATGACAGGGTAAGAAATTGTGCAATAAGAGAAGAGTGTGGTTTGCAAGTTGATGTTGTGACCAGGATTAAGAAAGGAATGCTTCGGTGGTTTGGTCATGTGGAAAGAATGAATGAGCAAAGAGTGACAAAGAAAATTTATGTTGCAGAAGTGAATGGCAGAGTCAGAAAGGGACGTCCCAGGCGAAAATTTATCGACCAAATTGGCGATTTATTGAAAACGACGAGCGACGAGTACCCTTAATCGAGGAGCATGTATGCGTAGGTGTATAGATGTGAAGGAGGCGTGAGAGGTGTGTCAGAATTGTGCCAAATGGAAGTCTGTAGTCTCTGCCTACCCCTCTGGGTGACAGGCGTGAGTATTTATGTATGTATGTTAATTATGTTCATATCATTGAATGTGACATAATTTACATCATTTAGAAAATATATTATGCAGCGGCAAAGCTAGGGCTTCAAACTAGGGCAAGCCCAATATACAAATTGATAAAGATATAGATTGTTGTTTTTGTTTACTGTATAGGTATTCATTGTGCATCACATGGTATTTTTATTTTTTATTATCTTATATTTCATATAATATGTGGGAATACAAGGTACTATTTTTAAGAAGTTTCGGACTACCAGAGGGCTGTGACAGCACTCTATAGTGCGACAAATTTGATAATGATCCCTGCATAATAAGAAATAAAATATTTTGAGGACCTACAAAGTCTACCACCATGCATTGGAGCAGTGCAGCAGATATATTGCGCTTCATAGCTCTTTCAGAAAAGAATAGGAATGCTGTGGAACATACATAAGCTGTAACTTAAGTTTACTTTTATAGAAGAATAGTATTTTGTTAAGTTTTTAATATTAATTTTTTCGTTCAACAAACTCATTGAAAAACTATGTATGTACCTACCTACATTGGTTTCTTTAGAAGTTTTATAATCCACATAAAAAATGGAAAGTTATTTGTTATATACTATGCACAGAATATAAATGAACAATTCCAATCTGTCTAAATGAATCCTAACATGCTTCATCGATGAAATGATAGCATTTCTTTGGGCTTCAATAGACTTGCAACAAATATTCACCCTATTGTGGCCTATTTGGCTACTATAATTAGATAGATACTTAGATATTTGGTAAATTGAAAATATTTACTTTATAGTTTTTTTTTCTTGTAATCATTTAAGTAGTCATAGGTACATAATCAACCTCCATATTACAAAAATTAAAAAAGAACCATCAGATAAATGCCTATGCAATTGAACTATCATTAAAATGGAAGATAATAGTATAGAAAGACTAATTTTTCTTCATTTTCAGGCAATACTTTACAATTTCTCTTCTCATAGACAATCCCATCTTTAGAGAATAGATACTCTGAAGAATAAACACTAATTCCTTTATGGCCCTATTGACTTTTGGCTAATATTTATCTATTTGGCCAGGAAGACCTCAGAATATTCAGAATTCAGCATGTGGCTGAATATAGGGTATGTTCCAAAACATTTTCAGTACACTGCCGAATACAAATGACATCATCAATTGACACTATATTGTACTGGCATACCGCCGCCATATTGTTTTGGATATCTGGCCATAATAGAACAATTTTTTATTGTGTGTATCGCTGAATGAAGCATGCCAGAATTTGTTTTTATTTATTCAAATACAAACAATTGTAGAATAATTATTGCTGGTATCTCCATTAGGAGGATATGATTTTTGGAGCATAAAATGACAAAATAATCGCCAACACTTTTTCAATATGTCGCAAATGTATGACGTAATATACTGTCCTATGTTTTGGAACAAATCACCAGTATATCATCGATTCATGACGTCATTTGCATTGGGCAGTACACTGGGTTGTATTTTGGAACATACCCATAGTATTTGTTGCAAGTCTAGTCTTCAAGGTTACTGCTAACTCAAAGGCTTGTTAGTCACACACTTCTGAGGCATAAAGCACCTCATGGACTGTTTACTTATTATACTTAAAATAATATCAAAATTTGTACAACATAAATAAATTTTGACATTTCAAAGTTTAAGTTTGAGCTTGAGATTGTCTGATTGCGAAATTCAGTCTGAATACCTTGATTTAGACACTATCAATAGTTTGAATTCTAAAGATTCAGCAATAATTTTATTCAATCAACTGTGATATACCAGATTTTTAAGGGGTTACCCTTGTCAACTGGACCATTCAGGTAATCCTTGGGGATGCCTATATTTAGCAGTGGATTGGTGATGGGCTGTAATGATAATGATGACAATATGTAGTGAACAAACATACATTCGTGTCTTTGTGCGAGTAACATCAAACATAAACCCATCAAAAGCTCCAGCATTTAAAACAGCCCTCTCTGCACTGGTAGGTTCATCATACTCAACGATGCACTTTTGACTCTTTGGAAAAAGTCTTATCTTTTGGGGGCGTCCAAATTTGCTGAAGTGTTTTTTGGCTGTCGTTTCATCAAATAATCCGTCGGGGACATTTGAACATCTGCAAGCACAGACTTATTATACTTAGGTATCACATGCTATAAAAAATTTACTTTTCACATATAAAATAAACAAGTAACACTTACGTGACCGACGATTTAGTGTTAATATCATCAATCGATGGGCTTTTAACTTTCTTTAACGGTAACGTCGTGGGTTCCATGTATACGAAAATAACTACTCTATTTTAAATATTGAAACAAGTACAAAATGTTACAAAGTACAATATTATGTTAGTACTTTTTAATCTTTCGTTAGAAAATAGTTCAATCCTTGTTTTAAATACACGTACACCGAAACAAAAAGTAATAACAAGAATCTTAGTTTTTCACGTTTCACATTTTCACAAATTTATAAATAAGTGGGAACTGGGAACTACACCATAGATGTTTTTTTTTATTTTTTTATTAACTGGCTTTACGGCTTTGGGTTCTAGCCCTTCTGAGCCTATCATTTCTTTCATAATCTTTTTTATATATTTTTTCTTCACAATATGCTGATGCGTCACATTGCGAAGTTTTTGGGAGAATTCGACGACAGCTCAACCCAGCGTACACTTAATGACGACAGCCACTCAAGTTCGGTTCAATTAGGCGCCCAAGCGATCAAATTAACCTGACATTTATATCAACATCAAAGCACTTGTTTCGTCGTTTTATCTAACAGTTCACACGCGCAGACACTTAATTCACAAAATCGCATCACTTTTACAAATTAAAATCCACTTCAAACAATTATTCAAGCGACAAAACAGGAGCGACAATCCGTCGACGGCCAAGTTCCCGCCACAAACTTTCCTAATGTATTTAGTTTTATTTTAAAACCCCAAAGAAATCTCCAGAAACTATTATCTACGTTTTGTTTTTAGTACAGTGTAAAATTGTACAAAATTTTCAAATTCTGTTAAAAACTACGTACAAACAATGGGTATTTGCATAGTTCATATTTTTTTCATCACTCATGCCACTAGATGAAGCTATTTTGACAGTTGCCTTTCCAATGGGTATGTTCCGAAATACAACGCAGTGTACTGTCCAATGCAAATGATGTATCATTTGACACTTTATTGTACTAGCGTTCCGCCGCCATATTGTGTCGAATATCCGGCCATAATAAAACAATTTTTAATTGTGTGTTTGCCGAATGAAGCATGCCAGAATTTGTTTCTATTTATTCAAATACAAAAAATTATAGAATAATTGATGGTATATTCATTAGGAGGATATAATGATTTTTGGAGCACAAAATGACAAAATAATCGCCAACACTTTTCCAAATGGCGCAAAAGTATGACGTCATATACTGTCCAATGTTTTGGAACGAATCACCAGTATAGCGTCGATTCATGACGTCATTTGCATTGGACAGTACACTGCGTTGTATTTCGGAACATACCCAATATGTGGAAACTGTCGAGAGCTGCACGTAATAAGTATGGAGTGTAGAGGTAAGGAGTACAGACTGTGTATTAAAGTGTCCATAGAAAACCGTTAAATAAGGGTGGTGTCACTATAGCTACAGGTTAAATCTTAAAGAACGTGTCGAAAAATATAAGTGGGATAGACGACTTTTTCGAGGTTATATTTACTAAATAAAATTATTTTAGATTTTAGAGTTACTGAGCAGTTTAGCAGCACACTTCAAACCGTCGACAACTGCTAAGTTCATTTCATCCCTGTAGCCATTCTAGCGCTGTTGTGGAAAGATTTTGAACTGTTATTTACTGCTTAGAGATGGACACTTTTTCAGCTACTCTACTATGGGAGTTGGTACTCCTTACTTCTACACTCCATAGCCGCAAGGTTTTATAAAGTATTTGACAGTACTACAGCTACACAGTACACTACTGCAGAGTATTTACTATACTCTTTGCTACAAAGACTACTAGTAAGTAGCGATGGGTCAACTCGAGTTACGCTTAATTTGAACTGGATCTCTCTAACTCGAATTTGATCTGATGATCTGGCTGTACATGAACAAATCAAGCGAGGCAGTAAAAGAGTAAGAGCGCAATTATTACTTTGTGTGCGCGCTTTGTGTTTCAAATTGTATTACCATAGTAAAAATAGAATAGTAGGATCCTTCCCGCGCTGCGCGAGGCTTAAATGCCTACTGCTGCAGAGTTGTCACTGTCTTTTGTTTAACAGCTAAGTTTCATTCAGTTTTTTAAGTAATTATAGTATTTACAAACATAATACATACGGATACGCACCTATACATCATAATTGTTAATGATTTCTTTAGTTTCCTCTCAAAGAATCGATGTTTGTCAAAAAAAATTCAGCTTTACATTACAACAAATGCGAAATAACTAAAATACGAGTAAATTAAAACTGAGCATATGGTGTCAGTGTTAATTTTTAAACTTAATTTGATCTGATGTGATATGTGATAATTAATGTACTTATGAGGTATGTATCTATATATAGATATAGTAATGTTACGAGCTTGAGGTTTGTGACGATGAAAACTGCCGATTGAATTACCAAAATTAACTCTTTCATTCACTTTACACTAATTAAAACTTAAAAGACTAATAATTAATCACACTAATTCACTTTATTCCGCTCCGAAACTTCGCTTGTCTCGCCAAATTCAATACTTCCCCGATCGCACCTTGCAGCGCCTATAAATACACATTAGCACCGAAACATCCAGAACATTCAAGTAAATTCGCGCAAGGCGTCGAAAGTTCGAGTGTCGGCTTCTAGAAGCTTAGTTCTTCGTTTCGACACTATAGGGCGCTGTCGGTTGAAATATTAGTGATGTCATTTTCTGGAAAGTTCCCCCCGCTCTCGTCCCTGACACAACATGACGTCAACTTAGGCGCGCAACAGTAATATGTGCGTGTATGTGTGTCTGTGAGCGTTTATGTGAACATATTTTATTTATGGAGTAAGTCTTCTGTACGGTTATAATCCAATTTTTTCAACCACTCCGCAACAATAAATTTGCATTTAGTTTTTGTAAGGGAATATATTGATAGTTCCTTATTTAATTTATTATACAGGTTACTACTTTGGTAACAGAAAAATCGATGTGTAAGGCTAGTTCAGTATAAAGTAATATTGCAGACTTTATCCTTGCGGCGCTGATTCCTAAATATCTCTGGTTCATATTTGAACTGGGAATGTTTTTTAAGGACGGTATATAAAATGTAAAGCTGTCGTACAGGCAGGACTTTCCATTTTTGATAGAGATCAAACGTTGGATAATCGAATGTTAGGAACGAGCTCATTTTTTAAAGTGCTCTTTGGAGTCGTTCAATTTTCAGTATATGTGTTTTACAGTCACCACCCCAAGAAGTGATACAGTACATCAGTTGCAACCGGCAAAGAGTGAAGTAAACTGATTTTATTACTTTTTCCTGACCTACATGTCTCAAGGCCTTAAATATTACCATTAATTTGCGTATTCTTGCCGTTAGAAAGTCAATGTGATAGTGAAAACTAATTTATTGTCAATCATTACGCCTAGGTATTTAGTTGAGTCTGTGTTTATAAGTTTTGGGCATTGCACAGGTATGTAGCATTATATGTATCGTTGGGATTATCACACAAGTGTGAAACAATTCGATGTGTAGGGTCAGGCTTATCAGTGTTTTTAATGGAAAAATGATATAATTCGTCTTTGAAACATTAAGGGTTAAAGGGTTCTTGTATAACCAACTCGTTACAATATTCATTACTTTTTGAGCATTTGAGAAAACCTCATCCCATGAACTGCCACTGAAAAGGAGGACCATGTCGTCTGCAAAGGTAATTATTTTTGCATTTGGGATTTTCATCTGACATAGATCATTTATGTAAATGAGGAAGAGAGTTGGACCTAGAATACTCCCCTGAGGAACCCCAAAATTTACAGGGACTTCTTCGCTAATGATGTTATCAATTTGTACACATTGTGTTCTGTCAGTTAAAAAATCTTGAAGAAGTTTCAACTGGAGGTCTCTGATACCAAGGTATTCAAGATTTTTAACCAAAATTGGGACAGAGACTGTGTCAAATGCCTTTACCAAATCTAAAAATATACCTATTGTTTTTTCTTATTGTCGAAGTTGTGAACTATGTCATTTGCTTTATAGCCAAATTGTGCATGTGATAAAAGATTTTTATTTTCCAAATATTTTACTAATCTACTATTTATAATGCGTTCTAAAATAACCTAACTCACACATGGGTGGAGGCAGTAGAGTCCAAGGGGGAGGCATTGGCCGTTAGTTTGGACATTGCGAAGGCCTTCGATCGAGTTTGGCACAAAGCGCTTCTTTCGAAGCTCCCTTCCTATGGGCTTCCTGAGAAATTGTGCGATTGGATCACCAGCTTTCTTGCCGATCGGAGCATCAAGGTCATTGTTGACGGTGCAAGCTCCGATTACAAGCCTATTAATGCTGGTGTTCCACAAGGCTTCGTGCTATCGCCAACGCTGTTTCTTCTGCATATCAATGATATGTTGCAAACCCGTAACATTCATTGTCATGCAGATGGAAGCACTGGTGATGCTCTGTACACCGGCCGTGCCAATATTTCTCGGGAAAACGTTTCCGAGTACCGGGACACACTTGTGTCTGAAGTCGAGTCTTTGCTGAACTGAGTCTTGGATTGGGGGTGACTAAATCTAGTCCAGTTTAACCCCCAGAAGACAAAGTTTTGCGCGTTAACCGCTAAAAAGAACCCCTTTGTGTTTGGCACTCCCCTTGTTGCCTCAGCCAGTATCGGAATCGCTCGGGGGGTGGAGGTTTTTTTGGTTTTGGAGGAGAGGAGTGTTCTCTCAAAGGGGGGGGGTTTTCCGGGGACGTTTTTTCATGCGCACACAGCCCAACTGGGCGGTGCCTGGATACTGTTCCCATCTCTGGGCTGGGGCTCCCCAATACCAGCTTCTTCCACTTGACCGCATCCAGCGCAGAGCGGCTCGAATCGTCAACGACCGTGTGCTTTCCGATTGGCTCGATTCACTGGCGCTGCGAAGACATGTTGCATCTCTTTGCATTATCTTTCGCATATACCATGGGGACTACTCTGAGGAATTGTTCGGATTAATCCCAGCCGCCAAATTTCGTGAACGCACTACGCGGCAAACGTCCCTATACCATCCACACCATCTGGATGCTTGGCGGTCCACCACTGTACGTTTCAAAAGGAGTTTTCTTCCGCGTACAACCTC